TCTTTCTTTTATTTAATATATATTTCATTGAATAGCAACAAGAAGTAAAAAGCATTATGTGTTAAAATGAGTTGAGAAAGAAAACTCAGTTGATGAATTTTAATTCAAGTAGTTTTAATTAAACGCTAATGTTTTGAAATCCAAGGCAGGAACCAGAGATTCTGTTAAGGCCTACAGGCTATGTGCAACAGGGAGAGTTGAGCCCCAAAAGTTGGATAATGCCTTACGACTTCCCCAAATACTGAGCTGCTTCATTTACCTAACTAACAAATCTCAAAGGAAATTAGGATGGAACCTATTTTCCTACTAACATTGGATGGTTCTAGATAAATCAAGACAGACAGCTATGACTTATGACCAGGTATCAAAGAAGGCAAAAACATGAGAAATGACTGAACAGCCACCATGTGCTGTGGACTTCACCAGGTTCTGAGTGGGGTGGGGTGGAGAGGCAGGATGGTGGGCAGGGGGCCAGGTTAGGGAGATGGGACAAGCAAATCTCTTGGCACCTCCATGGCCCAACCCTCTGGGCTCATCACTCACTTCCCTACGTCTCTAGTTTCAATAAGCTCTGTTGCTTGGAAACTCACATAAAATGTGGCATGGGAGCATTGCAAATCAACCTATCATAACCCACCATGCCCTGATTTTATTACCTTTATGGCATTTCAAGGTGAAAGCCTATATTTAGCCTTGTTTGCTTTCTCGGGGAAATTCCAAACAACCACAGAGAAGCTGTGAAGTTTCTCTGGCTGTGGGTGGGATCCTGGCTCTCACATTGATCTGCAGGAAGCCTGGGGTCCAGAGGTCGGATCTTCTCTAGGACACTGAATGGCCTGGGAGCCTTTTAAAGCTGGGCGTGACTGCCATTCCCTTTATCTCCTCTTAAAGTCCACAGTATAACCTTAGACATGGGAACCCTTTTTTTAAGTTTGAGTTGTACATAAGGAAATGGCTGGTAGCTATTTCCAGACCAATTAGCTGCTGTTACGGGAAGCCTCTTTAAGAAAAAGACAAGATCTGTCTGACATCCTTCCTCCGCCCACCCCCTTTCTCCTTTCTAATGAAATACGTGCTATGGTAAATCTCCCTTTGCACCAATCTTAGGCTTGAAAGGCCATCTGGCTAATGTAGGACACTGTACTTTCCTGAGACAAGAAAATGAACAATTTTTTTAAGTGAGTGAAAACAATTCCTCACTTTTTTTTCAGAAATAGCAACAAACTGGCAGAGAGTCCCAGGAAAAAGCTAGCAAACGTTGCTAATGGGCCTTTGACCCTTTCTCACACCACATATGCGCTTCCTGATCTTGCTCCTGCTGTATTTGCTGTTTCTCACGTCATGTCATGTCGTCATGTCGTAAATCATCACTCCAGGTCACCCTAGCCCTGTGGGAAAGGGTCTCTCATTCTATAAAGCACACTGGAAGTGGCCGTGCAATTAAGGGCACATGCTCTGCAGTCAAAGAGCTGGATTTGAGACCTGTGTCCTCCATGTACTTGTTATTTAACCTTGAGCAATGTTATTTACACCAAGGTTGTTTCCTCATCTGTAAAATGGGATCATAGCAATACCTAGTTCAGTCTCCTCATCTGTATAAAGGACACAATAGCATTACTTATCTCCCTGGGTTAGCGTGAAGATAATGAAATAAGCCAATGCAAGGTGCATAGCACAGACTGTGGTACACCGCTCAGAGTGTGGCATTCAAAAAAGGCAGCTATAAGGATGATGATAATAAGATGGCATCTAGAAGATGCCTTTCACCCCACAGAGGAAAAAGAGCTGTCCTCGGACCAGAGTTCACAGTCTCTTCTGAGAAATGCTTAAAAGGCCTTGCTGTAGTTGGTCTAAACCAAGTTTATTCCACTCTAACTACTCATTAGTTGTCTCTGTACCTGAATGTCCATAGGCAGCTCAGACTCAATATATTCAAATTTAGGCATCTTAACTCTTTTTGGTTCTCATGTCAATCATGTCTCTCTTTCTTTGGTCATACAGTGTTGCCTATTCTTCCTGCAAACCAGCAGACTGACTTACCCTGAGGCCTCCCCACCCCTCCACTTCCCTGACCATTTCACCTCCTGCATACGCCCCGAACCTCTCGTCTTCAGCGCTCCTTGACCACTATTGCCTTATGTCAAGCCTCGTCCTCTCTCTCCCACACGAATGTAATAGCCTCTTAGCTGCTTTTTCTCCCTAAACTCTTTGCCCTCTGCTCCACCCTCCTACACCCTTACCGCACACACACTGATCATTCTGAAGAGCAATTTGGTTATGTCACTTCTCTGACTAATCCCCTGCAATAAGTCCATATCAATAAAAGGATTATCTTCAAGCTCCTCGGCCAAGTATACAGGCCATGCTCGAGCCCTCCCTTCCCATGCCAACCTCATCCCTGCCAATCTTTCATGATTACCCTACATTCCAGCAATGGGAAACTCTTGCAGTCCCAAGAATATCGTGGGAGCCAGATTCCAAGATGGTTCCCAACGATTTCACTTCCTGATGTTCACAGCCCTGTGTGGTCTTCTCCCATGTTGTACCAGAGTTGTTCTAGGTGACCAATAGAATGGCAGAAGTGGTGGTATGTCACTTCCAAGATTAGGTTATAAATGACTGAGGCTTCTATCTTGGACTATCTGTCTCTCTTGGGTTACTCACCCTCAGGGAAGCCAGCTGCCATGTCATGTGAGTAACACTAGGAGAGGCCCACATGGTGAGGAACTGAAACCTCCTGCTGACTGTCACGTGAGATGGAGCTTGAATACTGCTTCTACAACCCCTTCAGATGACTGCAGCCCCAGCCAACACTTTATGGTCGTGAAACACCATAAGGCAGGATCATCCAGTTAATCTCCCAGATTTATGGCCCTCAGAAACTGTGTGAGATCTCAAGCATTTATTGTTGTAAGTTGCTAAATTTTGGAGTAATTTGTTTATGCAGCAATAGATAACTAATGCAAAATCATCTTCATTTATACCTCTTTTCCCTTGCATGTTCCTTTACACATGGTATATACTTCCATCCCCTGCAACTGTGCAAGCCTCAGCTACAAAGTCACTTACTCTATAAAGCTGGCCCACTCCTCCTCCAGCCTTGTCTGAGCTGACATTTGTGTTTACATAGCATCTGATACTCATCTCCACTGTGGCACTTATCACATTGTCCTATGCAGTAGACTAAATAGCGGTCCCCCAAAGATGTCCCTGTCCTAATCCCCAGAACCTGTAAATGTTACCTTATATGGCAAAAGGGACTTTGCAAGTGTGATTCAGTGAAGGATCTTGAGATGGGGAGATGATCCTGGATTATCTGGGATGATCCTGGATTATCCATGTAAGAGAGACCCAGGAGAAGTCAGAGTGAGGGGAGAAGGTGATGTGATGATGGAAACAGAGACTGGAATGGCGTGCTCTGAAGATGGAGGAAGGCGCTGCAAGCAGGAATGTAGGCAGCCACTAAAAGTTGAAAAGGCAACAAAACGGATACTCCTCTAGAACATCCACAAGGGGCACAGCTTCCTGGTACCTTGATTTTATTTGGCTAAATCCATTTTGGATTTGATCTCCTGAACTGTAAGAGAACAAATGTGTGTTGTTTGAAGCCACTAAGTCTGTGGTCAGTTGTTACAGCAGCAATGGGAAACTAATACACTGTGTACCCCCACCCCCCAAACACACGCACTAGACTGTTAGTTCCTTGAAGTTGATGTCAGCTTCATCTGTTTGTTCCGAGGACCTAAAACAATGCCTGGCTTATGTTAGTGCTCAACGAATGTGTGTTGGTTAGTCAAGTAAATGAACTAGTTTAAATTCTTTAGGCTATAACTTAAACATTTTATTATATGATCAAAATGTAATGGCTTCCTTCAAGCAATTTTTCCCCCTGGTGAAATGTCATTAGTTTCCATAGATCCAGACAGATGTAGAAAAAAAATTGTTTCAAAGTCTTATCCTTGGAGTAAAAAAGATTGTCAGAGATCATCTCCTGGGTGTGATGACTAAGTAGAATACATTTCTGGAGTGGATCCTCCTTTCCTTAAGTGCAGGGCTTAAAAGAGGCATAAAAATCTGGGCAGAGTCCAGTGAAGAAACACAAATATACTCGAAGGGCTGGGATCTAGGTGGTGGCACCTGCATTTCCAGCCAATAGCATTGGATTGTACTGAGGCTGCATCCACTCCGCCCCTAACCTGCCATGGGACCCTGAAAAATCCACTTATCGTCAGCTTCTTCACCTGTATAATTAAATGGTTGGTTAAAATTCATTCAGTATGTCACTCAACAAGCATTTGATGAGCACCCACTAGGTTCCAAGCATAGTTCTAGAAGTTGGGAGCACAGCTTTAAACAAAATTCCCTACCCTCATGGATTCTAGAGAGAAAGTTAGACAAAAACAAAACAAATACAGGAAATATATAGTATGTTACCCGTGACAGATGCTTTGGAAAAAAATAACTTAGGAAAGGGCTTCCATGAATACAGGAGTAGAGGTGGATGAGAAACTCAGTTTTCAGGAGGGTGGTCAGAGAAAGTTTTGTTGAGAAGGTGAAGTTTAAATAAAGTCTAGAGAAGGTTAGGGAAGAAATTGTCTAGAGAGTTGGAGGGAAACTTCTTGGGGGGTGGAAACAGCAAGTGCAAAGGTTCTGAGGGAAGAGGGTACTTGGTATGCTTCTCTGTCCAAAGAATTGCAAGGAAGCCAGTGTGGCTGGATTGGAGTGAGCAAGAACAGGAGTGAGCAGGAGACAAGCTCAGAAAACATTTTAGGGAGGAACCAGACACTGCAGACCAGTGCTGTCCAAGAGAAATATAATTCAAGCCAGAAATGTGAGCCACATACGTAATTTTAAATTTTCTATTAGCCACACTAGAAAAAGTAAAAAGAAACTGGTGAAATTAATTTTAATATTTTATTTATCCAATATATTCAAAATATTATAATTTTAATATATAATCAATAGAAAAAATTATTTTACATTTTTAATTTTTTCCCAGTTTTATTGAGATATAATTAACATGTAACATTGTATTAGTTAAAGATGTACAACATGATTTGATGTATGCATACATCACAAAATGATTAGCACAATGTTTAGTTAACATCCCCACCTTACAGTTACAATTTTTTTTCTTGTGATGAGAACTTTTAAGGTCTAGTCTCTTAGCAACTTTCTAATATGCGATACAGTATTATTAACTATAGTCACCATGCTGTGCATTACATCCCCAGGACTTAGTTATCCTATAACTGGAAGTTTGTATCTTCTCACTCCCTTCACTCATTTCTCCCACCCTCTAGCCCTCACTTCTGGCAAACATCAATGTTTACATTCTTTTTTTTTTCAAAGGAATTCCTCAAAATCCAGTGTGTATTTGACATCTCAATTCCAATGGACCACATCTCAAGCGCTGTACAGCCACATGCGGCCAGCGGTCAGCTCCTCGGACAGCATGGCTGTAGGGCTTTATAGGCCTGCGTAAGGACATTGGCTTTTCCTTTGGAGCAAGTAGGGAGCCACTGGAGGGTTGTGAGCAGAGGAGTGACACGATCTAACTTCTCTTTTAAAGGACGCTTGGGTTGAGATAGCCTGTGGGGGCAGGGAGAAGTGGGGAGACCAGATGGCAGGCTATAGTGACCTTGGACAAGATGTGGTGGTGGCCCCACCCAAGCAGTCACAGTGAAGATGGAAGAAATGGTTGAACTCAGAACATATTTTGAAGATGGAGCCAACAGGGTTTCCTGGCCGATTGGATAGGCTATGAGAGAAAGAGGGGAGTCAAGAATGAGACCAGTGGAAAAACATTATGGATGTTTTCGTGGGTTTAATCACTTGATCAAAGCACTTAACTTTTCTGAGCCCATGCGTCTTTCTCTGTCACATGGAGAAACGCCATTTCAGGAAGAGGAAGCCAATGCAGAGGCCCCCAGGTGAGAGCATGCCAGGTCTGCTCAGGGAAGCGCAGGGTGAAAAGGAGCAAGCAAGGAAGACAGCAGTGGGAGGCATGGTCAGAAAGGTGACTGGAGTGGGGCTCGACACAAGCCATGTTACTCTTACTCAATTTCAGGGAATAGAGGGAATAACAAGTAAACGCCCCAACAAACAAAACCTATGCTACTGTGTTACGATGAAAAACTCAGCTTCAGACTCTTTTAGGCTAAAATGATCTAGCTTTGTGGTCTTTTTTTTCCTTTTCATTTCCACAAATTCAGTTCATCTAATATACATGGAAGGCGTAGACAATTTGAGCAACAGAGTCCTTTTGACTTGCTCCCGAATGAGAACACTGTCCAGAAGCAGAACTGCCATGAAGGGGATGAAGTTTCAGCTGCTGGGTCCTTCACGTGCAGGGGCCTCTTGCAAGGCTCCGTACCTAATTTTGTTTTCCTACTTTGATTTTCCTTTCCCTAGAGGGCCTCTCTGAATTGTATAAGCTTCAGGACCAACAAACATAGATCTCCCCCTACTTAGGGAGAACATCCCATTATAGACCTCTCTTAGGAATAAAAATAACTGACTTGGGTAAAAGTTGGGGAGGGATGGGGACACACCTGTTTGTTAAGCACACCTGGCCAGGGCTGGGCATTTATGCCACAGAAAAGGAGCCAACGCCTGCCCAGCTGCCGCCCTTTGGAGAAGTGGTTAAACAGAGATCGTAGCAGGAGATTTATGTGTCTGTCCTTCCCAAATCCATTTGATCATAAAATCAGGCGTGTTGCTTTTAAAAAGTATAGATTCCTGGGGTCAGCCCTGTGGCCAAGTGGTTAGGTTCTCATGCTCCCCTTCAGGGCTCTGGGGTCTGCTGGTTCAGATCCCAGGCACGGACCTACGCACCACTCATCAAGCCATGCTGTGGAGGCATCCCACATAGAAGAACTAGAAGGACTTACAACTGGGATATAAAACTATGTACTGGGGCTTTGGGAGGGAAAAAGAGAAAGATTGGCAACAGATGGTAGCTCAGGGCAAATCTTCCTCAAAAAGAAAAAAAAGTGTAGATTTCTGGCCCTTATCCCAGAGGTACTGATTCAGTCTCAGGGGTTAGGGCCCCGGAATCTTTATTTTAAGAAAGACCCACCAGTGGGCACTACCGTGTGAGGGCTTCTGAAGCATAATTTTGGAATAACGAGTCATAACTCTGGGGATTCCTGGGAGGAAAGCAGCCTCGGTCCCAGAAACAGGGTGGGAGAGTCCTGAGCGGTTTGTTGTTGAGAGAGACACTCAGTCAAGGATTTATAGTCCGGGTAGCCCTTCCTCTACCCTCAAAAGTATACTCAATCAAAGGGAAGGCCCAGCATTGGCTCCCTAAGTCCAGGCCCAGGGAAGAGGTGATGGACTCCAACATGCTGCCCTCAGGTGGCCTTCAAGGACGCGCTGGTGTTCCCCTCCCAGGAGGAGGACCTACAAACTCTGCTTCCTGGACCTCCAGCTTCCACCCCTGGCATGAGTCTGGCTGGGCCACAGGGAGAGGCCCAGGAGAGTGAGCCCAAGGTCATCTGCTTACGTGACAGAGCTGCAGTTTAGAGGGGCAGAGTAATGAGCTCAGGTTACCTAACCCGCGGGTTGGTGGATCCGGGATGATGGAAGCCTAAAAGTGGCATCACGGGTGATTCTCCCTGTGCCTATTGTGTAGAATAAAACGTTTGCTTTGCTGTAGGAAAGGATGAGGGCAAAACAGCATCTGTACTGAGCAATGGAAAGAGAAGGTGTCCTGTTGACACCATTGGGTCCCTGGACACATCCCTTCCTGAGGCCGGTCCTACCTCCCTTCCCCCAACTCTTTTTTTCTGCTTGAGATAGCTTCACTTGGGTTTCTGTAACTTACAGCCAGAGCGTTCTGACAAAGAATGATAGATAAACAAATATACTGGCATAGAAAATGATCACAGTGATTATTCAATGAAAAAGTCAAATTGCAGAATAGTATCTGTGGGACTCTTCTTTTTGTGTAGTTAAGTGCCTTGTGTGTGTGTGTGTGTGATATTTTTATTTTATTTTATCTTATTTCATTTTCTTTTTAGTGAATGCCTAGAGAATAACTAGGAAAATACTTACCGCACTGTTAGTGGGAGACGAGATGGGGAAATTCTTACAGTTCTGGACTTTAGTGATGATGAGCATGTATTGCTTTCATAATAAAAACACTAAATCTAAAAGAAGAAAGGGAAGAAAGTTAGTCACTGAATAGACCAGCTACCTGCCTGCCCCATCTCCCGGATTTTCTTGTCAGAGAGAAAAGAGAGTTAGAGGCAGACAAGAGAACAGGTTCCGTTGTTAAGCCGATCGACACAATGGTGACTGAGACAATCAGTCAGGGAGAAGTGGACTGACTTAGTTACATACAACTAAGAGAGTTTTTGTGATAAGAGAATTCAATGCCCAGAGCCTAACTGGTCAAGGAAAATACAAAAAAGAGTGGAAAAGTGATCATCACTGTTTAAGTCTCACAGTTTGGGGTCTGAGAAGGTGGGTGGAGGATGGGGGAAGCAGAATCCTACAGGGGGCTTCTCTGGAGAGGTGCCAGGTGGAAACTGGGGACCAACCGGCTAGAACCCAGAGAGAGACTTTGCAGGCGCTCAGAACTTGCAGCATTACTGCTTTCGGTTCCACAGGGTGCAGGGAAGGCCTCGCTATCGATCACTTAAAGGGAAGATATTAAAGGAAAAAGGGTGGAGAGGAGCTCTTGGAGGGGGGTTTTAGAGGGCTTCAGGAAGTCACAGCAAGTTATGAAGGCTAATCCAGACATAGAACCTCACGCCCCACAACTGAGGTGGGATGGACCCCAAGGGGGTGGCTTTAGTTCCTTATTCAAAGGACTGAGAGTAAGGGAGGCCCCATGACTTTGTACATCATTAGAGAGGCAACATAAAAAAGACATATATTTCCTCTGATTCATATGACACCAACTTCCAGGAATTAATGAAAGAAAGTTTAAATCTCTCATTAACAAAACAAATTTTACAAATTTGGCAAATCTGACATGTAGCAAGGAATCAGAGATAGAGTGATACTTTTAGGACAAATGTGCCAGAAAAAACATGAGGTGAAAGGGACTGAGTCAGAGGCAGTATCAGCTTCTATTTTCAGAAAACAGAAGCCTTGGGCACGAACCAAAGGTCAGGTGGTGTGTGCACATGCTCAGAGAGACCAAGCCCACATCAACCTCTGGTCACAGCTGCACAAAGAGATAGCGAATCGCTATCTCCCCATCTGAGGAACTAAGATAAAGCTCGCACCACAGCATAGTTCTTCCGCAAAGAAAACTGGCACCACTGGGTACCCTGCTTCTGGGTTAAGGCTCTTTCTGTCCTCCCCGTTGATCTGCAGCTTCTAACACCACGTTCTTCCCTCACCCAGAAGCCCCCTTGCCATACTAATCACCTGTGGACGTGCTCAGGGTTTGACTCCCCTGTCTGGGCAGCTTGGCGGAGGCAGAGGCAGAATCCCCGTGCAAGCCTTCACACTCTAACTTAAGATTTGGCTTTGTTTTTCTTTTTTCTAAACCTGATCTACGGCAAACCAGGCCATCTGTCCATTCACATCCATCTAACCAGGAAAGTGTCAGCACCAGTGCCAAGTGCTGGGGAGACGGAATGAAATAAGGCATTACGGAACCGGATGTGAGTGTGTGCTGCCATTATAATGGTCTGACCACGGACTCCTTCTCTAAAGCTCAGTTTCCTCAATCTTAATGCAGCTGAATAGGTACCTTTTGGAGTCATATTGGGAATTAGAAATATTGTGTCTAGATATTAACCCCTTATCTGATATGTGGTTTGCAAATATCTTCTCCCAATTTTTAGGTTGTCTTTTCGTTTTGTTGATGGTTTCCTTGGCTGTGCAGAAACTTTTTAGTTTGATGTAGTCCCATTTGTTCATTTTTTCTTTTGTTTCCCTTGCCCAGTCAGACATGGGACTTGAAAATATGCTGCTCAGACCAATGTCACAGAGCGTACTGCCTATGTTTTCTTCTAGAAGTCTCCTGGTTTCGGGTCTCACATTCAAGTCTTTAGTCCATTTCGAGTTGATTTTTGTGCATGGTGTAAGGGAATGGTCTACTTTCATTCTTTTGCATGTGGCTGTCCAGTTTTCCCAACAGCATTTATTGAAGAGACTCTCCTTTCTCCATCGTATGCTCTTGGCTCCCTTGTCGAATATTAGCTGTCCATAAACGTGTGGGTTTACTTCTGGGCTCTCAATTTTGTTCCATTGATCTGTGTGTCTGTTTTTGTGCCAGTACCATGCTGTTTTGGTTACTATGGCTTTGTAGCATAATTTGAAATCGGGGAGTGTGATACCTCCAGCTTTGTTCTTTTTTCTCAGGAATGTTTTGGCTATTCAGGATCTTTTGTTGTTCCATATAAATTTTAGGATTCTTTGTTCTATTTCTGTAAAAAATGTTGTTGGAACTTTGATAGGGACTGCGTTGAATCTGTAGATTGCTTTAGGAAGTATGGACATTTTAACAATGTTGATTCTTCCAATCCAAGAGCACGGAATATCTTTCCATTTCTTTGTGTCTTCTTCAATTTCTTTCAACAATGTTTTATAGTTTTCAGTGTACAGATCTTTCACCTCTTTCGTTAAGTTTATTCCTAGGTATTTTATTCTTTTTGTTGCAATTGTAAATGGGATTGTATTCTTAATTTCTCTTTCTGCTACTTTGTTGTTAGTGTATAGAAAGACAACGGATTTTTGCACATTGATTTTGTATCAGATAAGGGGTTAATATCCAAAATATACAAAGAAGTCATACAACTCAACAACAAAAAAACCAACAATCCAATTAGAAAATGGGCAAAAGATCTGAACAGAGATTTCTCCAAAGAAGAAATACAGGTGGCCAACAGGCATATGAAAAGATGCTCAACATCATTAGCTATCAGGGAAATGCAAACCAAAACTACAATGAGGTATCACCTCACTCCAGTCAGAATGGCTATAATTAACAAGACAGGAAACAAATGTTGGAGAGGGTGTGGAGAGAAGGGAACCCTTGTTCACTGCTGGTGGCAGTGCAAACTGGTGCAGCCACTATGGAAAGCAGTTTGGAGTATCCTCAGAAAATTAAGGATAGATCTACCATATGATCCAGCTATTCCACTGCTGGGTATTTATCCAAAGAACTTGAAAACACAAAGGCATAAAGATACTTGCACCCCTATGTTCATTGCGGCATTATACACAATAGCCAAGACTTGGAAGCAACCTAGGTGCCCATCAAGGGACGAATGGATAAAGAAGATGTGGTATTTATACACAATGGACTACTACTCAGTCATAAGAAATGACGAAATCCAGCCATTTGTGACAACATGCTGAGTGAAATAAGTCAGAGGGAGAAAGTCAAATACCATATGATCTCACTCATAAGTAGAAGATAAAAACAACAACAATAAAAAAAACACGTAGCATTGGAGATTGGACTGGTGGTTACCATTGGGGAAGCGGGGAGGGCAAAAGGGGTGATTAGGGTCACATGTGAGTGGATGCACTATAATTAGTGTTCAGGTGGTGAACATGATGTAATGTATCCAGAATTTGAAATATGATGTACATCCGAAAAAATAAAAATTAAAAAAAAAGAAATATTGTGTCTAAATTGTCTAGAACTGCTCCATAAGCAACATTTATTACTACTATTACGGACTAGTAGAGGAGGAGACATCCGAGTACACTGAAGGTGACAATGTAGTGCCACACGCACCGTAACATAATAAAGCACTGGGTGTGATGGAAGAGCAGAGGGTAGGCTTCTAAACCAATATTGGGGGAAGGTGAAAAGTGAAGTTCTAGAAGTTTGAAGGATGGATAGGAGTTAGCCAGAAGAAGGAGGCAGAACATTTCTGGGCAGAGAGAGCAGCGTGTACTGAGGTGTGGAGGCACGAAACACCTCATGCATGGTTTTGGAGGAGGGTCCATATGACGGAAGTAAAGAAAGGGTTTAAGGGAACGGATGGCTGTGACACAAAAGGGATGGTTGGGGGCCAGAGCATGGACAGCCTTGTGTGCCAAGCTAAGAGGGTTGAACTTGAGTCTTAATGCTCAGGAGAAGACATGGAAGAATTTTAAGCAGAGGTGAGGTATGATCACATTTGTGAGAAGGGTAAATTGGACAGAAGTCAAACTAGTTTCAAATGCTTAAGGTGCCTGCTGACAATGTGAATTTCAGGGCTCATTTGAAGACCAACTTCAGAGCAACTGTGTCAGAAGAATCTGTATTTTAATCCAGTGCCTCGGTGCAAATCTTCTTTATAATAAAGTTGAAGAACAATTGAGCCATGGATAAGAGCATAGGGTCTGGACTCAAACTGTCTGTGTTTGAAGCAAAACTCTACTACTTCCTAGCTCGGTGATCTTGGGCAAGGTATTTAACCACTATGGACCTCAGTTTACCCATCTGCAAAATGGGAATAATAATAGCACCTGCCTCAAGGCGTTGCTCTGAGGATTGTATGTGGTTAGAAAGCGCGTGCACAGAGCAATCACTCATTAATGTTGACCAGTATTCAGGAGTGGAGTTGGTGCTAGGAAGACTGGCTTCCAAGCCACTCTCCATGAGACAGCCACCTTTACTGACTTCTTGGCTTTGACTCTATGGACAGGAATCAGCCGTTAATTAAGCCACATGAGCTCATAGTAATTCCCAGTTACTGAGTTTATGTAAAAATAACATATTTAATACTCACTTGAGCATCAGGGTCAATTGTAATGCCTTGGACAGCTCAGTTAATTATTTCAAGCCCATAAGACAAAGCCACATTCTGGTCACATTGAGTTTTTTTCTTTTTATCCCCATCTATTTCTTAAAACATGAAATATTTGGCACTTACAAAGTAACATATGCAATACATAAATACATATGTATGTTACAAAGCATAACGACAAACCCAGTGAAATCACTACTCTGGAGCATTGCCAATGCCACTGAAGCTCCCTACGTGCCTGCTATGGTCCGAATATTTGTGTCTCCCCAAAATTCATATATTGAAATCCTAACCCCGAAAGCAATGTTATTTGGGGGTGGGGCCTTTGGGAGGTGATTAGGTCATGAGGGTGGAGCCCTGGTGACCGGGATTAATGCCCTTGTGAAGAGCAAGAGGGCCAAGAGGGCACGTGAGGACAAAGTGAGCAGACAGCTGTCTGTGAA